GGGGGGGGGGGGGGGGGGGTTGCGGAGGCACGAAGTTGTCCCTGTCAAGGGGGCCAGAAGTCAAGAGAGCTAAAGAGAAAGAGGAAGGAAATGTTCCTTAGGGTCCACCTCCTGTGAGGTACTTCCTTTGTGTAGGCCCCACCGCTTGAACCAATAGCATGGCCAACTGAGGTAGCCTGTAACACAAGAATCCCTCTGTGTGTGTGTGTGTGTGTATGTGTGTGTGTGTGCACATGTGCAGAACGGTGTGTGTGGGAGTTCGTATTCAAGCCATACAGGCACTCACATGAACAAAGTCACCTGGCTGAGGATCTCTGTTCTGTATTAGCATTTCTGAGACTTGAGTGTAGACCTGAACCACACAGGGGAAGGGAGGTTCTTTGGGGTGGGGTGAGGGGTCTGTCAAATAAAGGGGGGACTGGTCCTGTATCTGGAGTCTGCTGGCTGCTTCTGAGTGGGTCTGAAAGATGTACGTTGTCAGCAAACTCCTAGGTGGTTCTAAAGCTCTGGGCTTTGATGCTGCAGCATGGTGACCCTCCCGACCGCACCGTTGACATTTCCCGAACACAGAAATACCAAGATGAGGCCAGCCAGCAGAATCTTGGCCGTGGCGCTCAGTTTAGAAACCATGATGACATAAGAAATTAGAAGGCAGCTGCGAAGTTTGTGGTTTGGGGATCAGTCGAAGATTCCATTTTTACATTTGTTCTGAATTTAGTGATCCACCCTCTCCCCCCTTTTAGCCCCCCTCCCGTGAAAGTCATATGACAGCAGAGATGAGAAAAAGGAGATGACCTTGTAGAAAAAACAGAGGGTAATCTTCATTTACGACGCAGCCACCCGCCCACTGGTCCGTGCTCAGTGTGTTTCCAGGTGCTCCAGCTAAATGGTCTGTGATCGCTTTATATGATTTCCTAGGGACTGTGTGCAGAAAGCTCTGCGGTGCTTCACTGGCTGCCACCTGACTTTGAATACCTTGGACCAAGTATCTGGGGTTGGAAGAGCAGAAAATTTCAGGGATGAATGTGGCCCACATTCCTGCAGATTGGAGGCAGGACAAGAAATCACCGTAGCATGAGCGTGTCTGGATGGCTTACATTTAATCTTCTGGGTTTACAAGACATGATGGAATTCTGCAGGGCATTTTAAAATCATCACTTTTTTGCTCTCCTCAAAGCCCGTCCTGCACGCCTGGTGCTAACACTTAATTATAGCCAAGAGAATCTGAGAAGCCCAGTGCTCCCTCCTCACCCCAGCAAGCATCAAGCAAAATCAATAGCCCTGTGCTGGCAGCACGATGCTCTTGTCTCCTTCATCTCCTTCGCTCATCTGCGATTGCTTTTATTACTGCAGTTCATTTAATGAGACCAGAGTGTTTGGAGCCAGATGGTGACGTTAGTTCAATCTGGAAGACTAATGGAATTGAGTTCAAACCAGGTTAAAAGTAATGGAATTACAGATTTCAGCGGTCATTGTCTCATAGCGGCACGCTCTGGGTCCTTGTTAGATGCCAGAAGTCAGTGCCCGCTTCAGATGAAAGCCCTGAAAGGCAGTTCAGGGAGACCCGGTGTGTTCATCTGCTCGCTCGTTCAACACGTACTTCTATGCTTTGTGTCTCCCACATGGCCATTGTGGTTTCTGAATCATGGCCCCATCATGTACTGGAGGTGGCAGGCAGACCTAAGCAGGCAGGCAAAATCACTCTGTGTGTATGGTCTCTAGGAAGGGAGGATCCTGGCACTGAGGGTGTAGGGTTTTGAGGACCAGGTAAGGAATAAATACACGACAGCTTTAAACTCACCATTTTGTTGAGGCTACAGTTTTACCCCTCCCCCCAGAGAATGAAATGCAAAGAGAGAAAACAAATATCCCACACAGAGACCTAAGCTTCTCTGGATGTCTCCTGTTGTGGGCTAAAGTCCCTTGGAAAGGTCCAAACTTCAAAAGTGCCTCAACCTGGAACTTTTCCATAGGAAAAGTCAGCAGTAAATATTGACACCAGAGTCAGTCATCTCTGCTGAAGTTCCTGGCTGCTCCGACCAGCCGGGGCAGCCAGGTCATAGGTGACAAGGATAAGAACTGTCATCCTGAAGCTGTAGAGCGGCCATCTCCCTGGCTCTGGGTCACAGCTCTCAGGATGGAGCAGGCAATGCTGCAGATGCTTGTTCTGTTGGCGCTGGGAACCTACTACCAGTGTGCCTCAGGTGAAGGACACACTTAGCCACCTGCTCGAGGTGATCTCCGCCCTCTCCTAGTTCCACCGCCTCTCACTGTGGCTTGTGTTCTTGCTGTCCAGGTTTCCCGGTGTACGACTTCGACCCTTCCTCCCTGCAGGAAGCCCTCAAGGCCTCGGAAGCGAAGGTGAACTCACAGTCCCTGAGTCCTTACCTGTTTCGGGCGACCCGGAACTCCTTGAAAAGAGTAAGTGAATGGGGACAACTTCCCGGCCTTCTTCACCATCCCTGCCTTGTCTTTGCTTACTTTGTTGAATCAGTTGTTTTTATTTTTCTTTTTACAAAGATCACAGCCAGTCCTGCTGACTGCTTCAAAGAAGAGATTTTAATTATAGTTTTTGCCCTGGGGTTCTCAAAGCTTCTTGGGACATCTGATTTTTCCTTCTGCGTTTTCCCTTTGACCTTGGCTTCTCTCTGCCCGTGTCCTGGTTTGGGGTGAAGAGTCCTGAAGCCCTCCTGGCTCCTAGGAAGCGTTCTAGGGATGCTGCTGGCCTCCCCGTGTTTATAGAGAAGAAGCACTGGCCCCGGAGACCAAGAAACCCACCCGATTTTGTCAGCTTCCTAGTGCTGTTTCCTGGTCACCAGAGAACTGGGTGAAGTGACATTATCTTGGGCTTGCTGGGACTCAGTGGAGCAAAAAACGAGGGGGAAATGGAGCAGTATCATAGAGAAGCCCCTCTCCTTCCTGCCCCTTGAGGATTTCACTATCTTTTTATCAGCTTAATGGGGCTCAGAAGAAGGTAAGGACAGAAAGGCACCCCAAGCAATTGATGTTCATGCCAAAGATGAGGAAGAAATAGAGCAGCCAGCCTCATGGAGACAAGAGTGGACTCACGTAGCCACATGGTCAGGCAGCTACTACCACCACATAGAGGCCACACTACCATCACAGTCTCTATGGCTTTCTCTCTTCTCCACTCTATTCTAGATCCACGACCTTTGTCATTTAGCTGTTCCTCTGCTGTTCAACAGAAGTACACTTTGCTTACTCAGCTTGCCTTCATGTAAAAAAAAAAAAGTCCCCCCCCCCCGCCACCTTCTGACACTGGTTCCTTGTTTTCCAAACACAAAGCAAATTCATTGAGTAGCTTCAGTTGTCTCTTATAACTGGGTATGGTCATGAAGATGTGGGCTGAGCTATCGTGAGGCACCAACCCCAGGATCTGACGGTCAAGGTTGGCACTGAACACTATTATGGGGCAGCACTTACTCAGAGTGTAGGCAGCTACCAGGCAAAGGGCAGGCTGCTTCTGGGAGAAAGCTACATCAAAAGGCAGCTGCCTCTGTCTCCAACCCTGCTTTTGCTGGCACCAGGCCATGTTTCATTGGCACTGGATGTAATCCTCTTAGAGTGTTGTAGAACCCATTCCCTCTTGTCAAACTTGCAGATCAACAATTTAAATTCACTTTAAACTTAAATTCAGCTAGAGCTCATTATGGAACAAAGCGATTCATTAAACGGGAGCACAGGGACAGATCCAGAGAGAACTAAGTGGGGACACCATGGACAGGTAGCCAGTGAGACATGCCCAACACAGAATATACTGACACATGACCATCTTGCTATAGACACGTAGGCCTGACCCCAGGTCCACATACCTAAAGATAAGTCACTTACAGACGGCTTATGTGGATCCTAACAGATACTTAACGCATCTTGTCCCAGGGTATTGTTCTCCCACCTCGTGCCTGGTCCTGTTCCTTTGCTCTCCCTATCATCTGAGTGTATTAGTCAAGCGACATTCTCCATCACCTCTCCTTGAGGTCTGCATTCCACGACGTCACAGGAAATACCTACAGGACCACCGAAGTTTCTGTCAAACGACAGAACAGAGATGGTTTTTACCTTACCCCTCAGCATCATGTTCCTCCTCTGTGAGGGAGACCTCCGTGGGCTCCCTGCTAGTCAGATGGCCTTTCCTCTCTGCACCCCCTTACAACTGCATCAGGAAACTAGGGTGTCTGACAGAAGGCACAGCCTGCAGCCAAGGGCCAAAGGCTTGCAGTCAAATGGGAGGAGAGCTAATTAGTATAAAGACAGGGTTTGTAGTTCGAAGAGAAGCAGAGTACAAGATCCTGGAAACCCAGCCCCCTAGCCTAGTTGTGGGAAGAAATTAAAAAGTGTATTCGAGAGAGAATCCTAAGGGTATGGCCAAGTGGATGTTGGTGACAGAAATCACTGTGGGTGGACAGAGGAGCCCGGGTTGCATCTTTAGTCTGTAAAGACTTCCCATGGCTGACAGAACTACAGTTTGACATTCCCCATTTCTGCAACATCGCTTGCCTTCATTCTTTAGAATCAATTTCCGAATTATCTTGCTTATGATTATTATTAGTAAAGATTTCTGGAGTGGTACCCACTCTGGATTCACAGCTGCCTGACATCTTTACTACCTTGCCTCAGGTGCCCAGCGTACGGGGAGGGGCTTGATATATCACAGCATCTTCTGTCCTCAGACGACCCAGGTTCTTCAGAAAGTTTGAAAGGTTCCCTGGCAATCTTGGTGGCAAGATTAGAAAACAACATAGATTTAATCATAGGTCAAAGGTACTCATCCAGGAGATAGCCTGGGGCTCATTTACTTATTTTAGGAATTGGTGGACTTGTCTGGTGCCTCCATTAAGAAAATGTCACTTTGAGCCAGGTGGTGGTGGTGCACACCTTTAATCCCAGCACTTGGGAGGCAGAGGCAGGCAGATCTCTGTGAGTTCAAGGCTAACCTGGTCTACAAGAGCTAGTTCTAGGACAGACTCTAAAGCTACAGAGAAACCCTGTCTCAAAAAAGCAAAAAAAAAAAAAAAAGGGGGGGGGGACAAAAAAGAAAAAGGAAAAAAATCACTTCAAGTTTGTGGAGTCTATTCTTGCTGTGTTCTAGACTGAACTAGGAAAGACTATATCGTGGCTTTTAAGAGGGATTAAGAGTGAGGTTCCCAAGAGCTTCGGGGGCACAATACTTTCATTGACACATTCAATATGTAACCTTATTTTTGTGAGTGTTTTGAGCTTATTGGTTCCTATTATAACATACACTGTAGATTCATTAACATTGAACCCACTCCCCAGGAACCTGGAATTCCCACCTAAAGAAGTCTTGCTGAACGCATGCATGTGTTTTCTACATAAAGCACAACACAATCTCTTACTCTTGATGCCGTAGTCTCTCACACTAGCTTGGGGACTGAGATGACCCAAAGAAAGCACCAAAATGCCAGTCACAAGTTTCCCAAGAGAATGCTAGCACTGTGTTCACAGTGTACAGGCTGGAACAAGAAGGCAGAGGTTGAACAAAAGCTAGGTGAGTAACCTAGGAGTGGCAAAGAATATTTGGTGACTAGGTGAATTCACAAGCATCGGCTTTTGCGGAGAAGGAATTGCCAATGTAAATCTTTAGAAGCAATGTTGGCCTTGGAGTGAAGGCACACGTTCTATATCCTTCTTTCTTCTCTCTCTCCCTCCTTCCTTCCCTCCCTCCCTCCCTCCCTCGCTCTCTCCCTCCATCCCTCTCTTCGTCTCTCCCTCGCCTCTATTTACTATTGTTTTAGGACAAGATCTCTCTATATAGGTTAGGTTGATCTCAAGCTTGAAACCTCCTGCCTTGGCCTTCTGAGTGCTGGGATTCGAGGGGTACCCGCCACACTCAGCTTCGTTGGTTCCATGGTTGTCAGTGTTGTGTGGCTTTTCTCTATGGGCTTCAGTGTGAGTGCCTGCCATGACACGGATGCTAAGATATTACATAGCTTTTCCAATGAGTGCGTGATTCTGTCAACGTTTTCTCACTGGGCAGAAAGAATTATACCAACACCACGAATCTCAGAAACATGCCTATTGCAAATCCATGCTTTGCTTTTGTGAAGGTCAACGTCCTGGATGAAGACACCGTGGTCATGAACTTGGAGTTCAGTGTTCAGGAAACAACATGCCTGAGAGATTCTGGCGATCCCTCCTCCTGTACATTCCGAAGGGGTTACTATGTGGTAAGTGACCCAGGAAGTAATGTGAGGGAGACCCTCACTACTTCCATGACTAGGAGTGGGTCACCAAAGGAGCTTGGCCACTGCCTGTCTGGCACTCTGCCACACACTGGGTCGCCACAGCATTTCCTGCCATGGACTGTGTCCTTCGAGCTTGAGAGAGTGAGCTCTTGAGTGGAATCTACAGTCTTGGTGATATTGGTCAGTTCTTTAACCATTACTGCCCCAGCGTCCTATTCGCTAAGGTCCAGATGTAATCTCCTGTATGTATTATATCATCACATGGTGAGGATGCTTTGTATCAGACGGCATAGTGACGCAAAGAGGCCTACAGCAGAGAGAAGTCCCAGCACATCTGAAACTCTGCTGGACATGGATGTGAGATTGTGAGCCTCACTTTGGGGCGCTGCCCATGACTGAGTGTTGCCCACAGTGTGTCTTCCCTTCTCATTCAGCTCACATGGCCTATTTATGTCTATGTTCCCTATGACCAGAATCGTCAGCTGTTGTCTGGTGGAACCCTTTCTGATCAGAATGAAACCATCAGTCCAGACCCAAAATATTTCAGTCAAATGAGTGACTTCTTGAGATCTCCTTATAGAGAGGGAATTATTTTGTTATTTATCTCATGAAACTTCAATGGGATTCTGTCTTATAGAAGACTGTCACCTGCATGCACTTCTAATTAAATCTTAGGGCCATGTCACTTATCCATATCCACATATATGACATATACATACACACAGAGACATATACATGTGTGTATATATGTACGTATGTACGTATGTATGTATGCATTATATGCCACATAGTCAAATATATGGCATCTTGACTACTGTTTCTGTTATGGCAAGAAGAGATTCCAATCAGCCCTTTGTACTCATGAGGAAATGCAGGCTTTTCTCAGAGACTGGTATCAAACTCATGAAAATATTTAAACATTCCTTTTAAGCTGTTTAGTTCTGCAGAGTGTTCTTTGGATAACTGAACCACCTCTGTGAATTTCTCCTTTCTGCCTCATTTTGCAAACCCTGCCAGATGTCTCAGTTTATTGTCCAGAGGCTAACTCCTCCCACAGGGCGCTGAAGAGACCACTCATGACTCTGTCTTTGCCAGCCAACAGCTGCTTGCCGGAGCACCGTGCAGATGTCCAAGGGACAGGTGCAGGATGTGTGGGCTCACTGCCGCTGGGCCTCCACATCCGAGTCCAACAGCAGTGAAGAGGTATGATGGGGGCCTGTCTCCTTCCAGCTGGGTCGGGGACAGTCTGTGAAAGCTAGGCTATTTGATGGGATAGCTGGGAAATCATGCAGATGTCAGTAGACAGAATTCTGCTCACACAGCTAGATTCTCCCTTGAACAACAACTGGCCCATTTTCCATAATTTTTACTTCTTCCCACCATACTCTCCCAACACAAAATACAGCAACACAGCTCTTACCTCAAAGGGAATAAGAAGCAGTTCATTTGGGAGCTTATATTTATAAGTGACCCTGGCCTGGGAGCACAGATTCAGTGGGCCCCAAATGCTATGTTTCCTGTGTGATAGTTTGCTCCTGATTTCATGTTCTTATAGGATCAGAACAATTAAAGTACAAAATCAATGGATTTCAAATAGGTTTGTGGAAATTTCATGTAGGTGGATTACAGCAAAGAAGGGAACTGCTAGAGGCCTCAGATATATCTAATGTCATTTTTAGCTTTGGGGTTACTGGGAGCTAGGGCTCTGTACATTCCCAAAAGGATTTGACTTGATGGTCCCAAGGATGTTAGGCCATACATAGAGGTGAGCCATGAAAGGCTACTGGGGGCAAAGATAGCCCAAGAGGATTTGACCTAAACCTGAAACTTTCCTCCACAATCACCAAAATTTAACCAGAGGAACAAGACTGGTAATCTCTCTCTCTCTCTCT